CCTCTTTCTGTTTCTCCCTCTTTCTCTGTGTAGTGTGTGTGTGTGTGTGTGTCCCCCGTATTGCTTATGTAGTTCAGTTTGGCCTTGAACTCACAGCAGTCTTCCTGTTCAGCCTTCTGAGTGCTGGGATTACAGTTGTGTCCCACTACCCTCAGCTTTAAAGGTTCGTCTTGAGCAGCCTAGTGCACAAGGAGAAACAGCTCTGGTCTCAAAGGTGTCAGCAGTGTTAACAGTTTCCACCTCCAAGCCTTAACAGGTTTCCCTTCCTTGGTAATGGCTGCAAAAGCAGTCCATCCTTCCTATTCCCTGGCCTCTGAGGATGAGACCTGGCTCAGAAACTTTAGTTGGTGCCCACTGCAATCAGAACCTCATGTTTGTTTTAGTTCTAGGCGGACAACATGGGCTGAAGAGAGGAAGCTGAATACAGAGACCTTTGGGGTATCAGGGAGGTTCCTTCGAGGCCGCACTTCCCGTGGAGGATTCCGAGGAGGCAGGGGCAATGGGACCACTCGGCGCAACCCTACTTCCCACAGAGCCGGGACTGGCAGGGTGTAAAGACGCAGCCTCCTGAGTGAGTGCGGACCCTTCTGGATCCTTGGTGGGAGGCACGGGGACAGGTGAACCCAGAGTGAGCCAGGTCCGGGGAGCAGGCTGCTTCCTTGTCCTCCCCGAGAAGAAGCCTTGACCCTCAGTCTACCCAGGTTGCTCTGTGGAGTGGTGAGAGTTGGGCTGGCTACTCCCAGGCCTCTCGGGTGGGCCCAGCCCCTGCCGCATCCGAGTGAGGTTCTGGGTCTGGGAGGGTGTGGGCTGTGGCTTTCTCATGGGCAGCTGCTGAGTGAGTTTGCCAGACTCAGCGTTACAGCCGAGCCTGGCGCTGCACTGAGCCCGTGAGTGAGGGCAGGTGACTTGTGCACCCTCGGGCCTGGGCAGAACCGCCCTGTGCAGAGCCCCGTGCAGACGCAGTCCTAGTCCTCAGTGTGGATCACGGTAGGGAAGTGGGCAGCCCAGCCTAATTTGGAGTGCGGGGTGGGGCATTTGGGGTCCCTGCTCTTCGCCAGACAGCAGTGCCCGGTGATACTGGGCAGCTGATTACCAAACAAGCATGGACTGCTCACTTCCTGTCCTCTCTTGCAGGTTCCTGCTAGAGGTACAGGTGGTGCTGCGTATGTGAGGACACAGGAAATGCTGCACATAGAGGAAGTGGGTCCCATTGTTTACTGAGTTGGGCAAATTCTCATACTGCTGCTTATGTTTGGACTTAATCGAACTTGGACGTGGTTTGAGTTAGAACCACTTGTTTTGGGGAAGGTATTCATGGGTAACCTCTTTGAGGTATCATGACCTACGTTCCTTTTCAATTGTGCATAGCCTTATTGTAAGGTTTTGGTATTTTGCAAAAGTGTTTCTGTAGCAAAGGCTTGATCCTCACTTGGTGACTGTTTCTTTTTTATGACAGCTTTGACTTTTAAAGTGGAACCAAATCTCATTTGGCATATGTGGCAGCCAAGGGCATCTCTAACCCATCTGGTCCTTGGTGCTGCTGGCCTGGCACCCTTATAGCGGGGGGGGGGGTCTCAGGAGCCAGGCAAGGCCAGCACAGGGTGGGATGGGTGTGTGGTGGGGTGGGTGGGCTGAGGGCAGGGGAAGGGGTGCCCCGTGGATCATGTTGTATGACAGGGTTGGGAGCTGGCAGAGGGTAGGTGGACCGAACAAGTAGCTGAAGTGTTACACAGAGCCCAGTTCTGTAGCTACTGAAGCTGTGGGTTGGAACCCAGGATGAGCCGTGCTGGTCCTCCTATCCCTCCCTGCCAAGCCTTTGACCCATGTTGCTCAGTTGGACTCTGCCACACTTCAGTGTTCTCATCCACTTGGAAATGAGCCAGCTTTCGGGGTTGGGGGTGGGGCAAGGTCACTTGACCTTATTTCTTGATTGTAAATAGTTCTTGTTTTTGTTTTAAAGTGAGTGGAGGGAGGGTGGGGAATATAAATTTGTTGCATGAATAAATGGATCAGACCTCTGAGTATAAGCATGCATCCTCTGACAGGGCATTTTGTTTAAAATAAGCACCTTGGTAACTAAATTTCCTTTAATAGCTAAAATGGCTACAGTTCTGTACTGATTGAGTTACTGCAAAAGCTTGGGTTTATTTTTGTAGGCCTTTTGGCTGAGAATTAGAACATTAGCATTGGGGTTGCTCTGTTGGAGAAATGTAAATTGTAACTATAAATAAACATGCAAACCTTTCAGCTTTCGTCTCTGCTGCCCAGATTGCCTCTGTCATGTTCAGGGACCAGTCAGAAGCAGGTGCTGTCAGGACCTGGAGCACACTTGGATGGCTAGGATTGGAGACATGGGGTTCCATGGGTGTCCAGGGAAAGAGGGACTCAGCTGCTGTGGATGAAGCACATGAGAAAGCTCTGGGTTCTCACTGTGGGTGATCTTTTGGCATGAGTGGCTCTGCTGCCAGGAATTTGGCTACAAGCAACCCATTTCATTGTAAGTCTCCAGGGGACTTCAAAAGCAGCCCCCAGCACCAGGAGGCACGCGGTCAGCTGGATTGGTTTTCCTTTAGTACCTGCCTGTGGCTCAGCAGGCTCCATGGCAAGAACCACGGCAGCCTTCCACTGGGGGGAGTGGGGTTGGCGTGCAAATGATGCCTGCCTTCCTCACCATGCATGCCATATGCAGGTAGCCTCAGCACTTAATGCTCAACTGAGGGACTCGGCAGTTGATGTTTATTTCTCTACTATGGAGTCCAAATACAGTTTAGCCATAGTTTACTACCTGTGAAAAGCCTTGGTGTTAAAATTTCAAGCTGACAATCATTTTGACAGTTGGTTTATGCTGAGCTCAAACCATGTGTGTCTCTATTTTTTAATGTGCTTGTGTGCTATAAGGCAAGAACCAGGGGATAGGGATCTGCAGATGGAGGCAAGAGGCAGTGCAGGTGTAAGGCTAAGGCTGTTATGACACAACTGCTGTGGACTGAAAGCCCAGTCGCTTTTTGGCCAAAACGTGATCAAGAATAGGGAAGACTCGGACCCACAGGCCCTAAAGTAGAAAACATGAGACCTATCAAAACATAAAACCAAACATAGCTGCTGCTCTACAGAATTTGGGGGCTGTTTAGTGCTGTCTGTGCTTCTGTTCTCACCCTTCTGTGTCCGTTAATGGACAGTCACAGTTGAGAACCCTTCCAGTAGAACCTGGGGTCTGCTGGGTGGCAGGCCAGCTGTCGAGACCCCAACCCTGGTATCTGGTTTATCTTAACAGCCTGGTAACAAGGGACACGGTAAAGCAAACAGTCATTTAAAAGGAACAAGGAAAGATAACATGTTCTCTTCACAAGGAAAGGTTAAAAAATGTGGGAGTTTACTGGGCACTCAGCATGACAGATGGGAAAGCCCACACATGACTGAGACTCATCCATGATTGAGTTTAAAAGCCACTTCAAGCAAGTTTTCTTCACGATGCTTTCTTTTGTTTCTTCTTTTCATTTTCTTCTTTTTCTTTTTCAATTTCAGCAACATATTTCTCAATTTCTTCAGGATTTAGAATCTACAAAAAAAAAAAAAAAAAAAGTTTTTTGAGATAGGGTCTCTGTAGTTCCAGATGGCCTTGAACTCATGGGAATCTTCCTGCCTCAGCCTCCCGAATGCTGGGATTACAGGCATGTGCCACTACACTTGGGTCAGAAAGCATGTTCATAGTTAACCCCCATGGTACACAATGTGCAAAGCACCTGCATCATTTGTAGGGACCTGGAGCTCCCTTGGAAAAAGACTATGGAAAACAAGGCAGCATTTGCCTGGTCTTAACAGCAGGTACAGCAGCAAAGCTGCAGTTCACAGCCCTCTCAGAGGGCCAAGAGAATACCCAAGCAACATCCCGAACCGGAGGAAGGAGAGTGGGAATTCTACAGACATCTGCAAGCAGCCCTGGACATGCACGGAGCTAAGGCCACAGTGCAGTGGCACCGCAAGGACGATACTTTTCAGGAAAGTATCACAGGATCGCGCTGCTGTGGTTTTAGCACTGGGGAGGGGAGGGTCTTTTCCAAGGCTCCCATGCAGAGGCGAAAAAGACAAATGCAGTGGTTACCTTGAGAGGCTGATCTCTCCTCATGACAGCAAGTTCAATGTTTTTGCCACCTGACTGGACCACCTTGAAGGGGAAGAAGAAGGGCGTCTACAGCACTGCCAAAGAGGCCCAGCACCAAGGTTTTTGCCCCCCCCCCATTTGGTGTGTGGAGGCCTGTTTGGGATGCCTGCACTCCCTCCTTGTTTACACACAGTGCTCCTGTTGCTGGCCTGCCCTGAACAGGCTCCAGTGGCCACTAGGACACCCCACTCCCGGCCTTGTAGCTACCCACTTTGGCTTTACTCACCTGCATCCTCAAGGTGCTAACAAAGGAGTCTGCAACCCCATCACGGCCAGCCCCCAGCCCTGGTTTCCTCTTAATTCCCCAAAGTGGCATGCACTGGAAGGCTGAGTGATCCCAGTGGTACAGACTTCAGAGCCTGAGGGCCGAGTTACTTCTCAGGCTCTGTGGCCCTGGCTATCCAAAGGAGCAAGTGGGCACATTTCCTTCCAGGGCTCTTCGAGCACAGTGGCCACAGCAGCACGACAGTGCATCTTTGCCACCCTTCCCAGCCTTCTCTCAAGCTTACTTCCAGGAGTGCCTTGATCACCAGCTTGATGGTTAGATCATCTGTCTCAATGGCTTCATCGGTATAGTTCTTCTCCAGGAACTCACGCACTGACTTGGCACCCCTGCCTATGGCATTGGCCTAAAATAACAAGCATGTGTTCATGTGGCAGACAGCGTGACAGCCCAGATCCAGCCCGCATGAGCCTCTGCCTCCTCCCAGGGCCAACACTGTGTGCTCTCCACAGTGTGTGAGGTGACAGCCCCAGCCTGTTTGTCCCCCACCCCCTTAGGAGCAATGGGCTAGGGTTCCTGGTGATTCTCACCCTGAATGAAATCATGCCTTTGATACTATGCCAAATAGCAATGCTGAATGAATTTTGTGCTCTCCAGCTAGTAACTGTCACGGAACAAATAGGCTGTACATGTAGGGCTAAGCTAACTCACTGTCACTGAAGCAGGAGGCTCAGCCCCTCCCCGTGGTCTGTCTTGAACGCACCTTCCAGGCATGGTATGTGCCAGAGGGGTCAGTCTGATAGAGTCGAGGGGTGCCATCGAAGTCAAAACCCACGATGAGGGCAGAGATGCCAAAAGGCCTGCGCCCATTGCTCTGCGTATAACGCTGGTAGGAAAAGAAGTCAATGACAATCGTAAAAGAATTCACATGACATCCAAACAACTGTGCTTAGAAAGAATAAAAATATTCAACTTAAGACCCTCTTAGGTTATCTGCAATTCAAACAATAAACTAGCTAATTCCTTTCAACATCCCTCCTCTCTCTTTCCTGCACTTTAATTCCTAGCAATCAGTTAGGATTAGGACTGCAGCACAGTGTAACTGAGGCTATTAGAAATTATTCTGACAGGCATACTTTCTGGCTCCATGAGTGCAGATGCTTTTCAGCACTCACCAAACTGACTGGCAACCAGTCATTTAGAATGGCAAGATGAAACTATTCATTCCCCTCCCCGCAGAAACATGGATTCAGAGTCCTTCGACTGCCCCATGTCAGAAAATGACAACAGAACAGTGTCACTGAATTGGAGAAGCTAGACTAGACCAAGATACCACTTACAGTAAAGACTGGGATGAGGTGCACACAAGCTGTGCAAAGTACTGAGTGAGACATGCCGTGACAGAACAGGACCTGACCCGTAACCGGTGGACACCCACCTGCTTCAGACTGGCAATGTAGCGGGTGATGTACTCCACAGTGACCGGGTCCTCCACAGTCAGGCGGTGGCTCTGGCACTCCACCCGGGCCCTATTGATGACGATCCTTGCGTCAGCAGTGAGGCCTGCAAAGACAGCAGAGGCATCTGCCGAGGAACCATTCCTCAGAGCTCCACTAAGAACAGAACTTATACACAGGACACCATTTAACCTCCCACAGATTGCCATACCAGCACGAGGTGGTTCTGAGTGACAGACAGTGGGCTCCGGAAACTTGTATGAAAAAGTGGACATATAAAATACATATCAGACCCCATTCAAACATGCTAGCTGTCTTCTGGGAACCCTTTTTTGTGGTATTGGATGTATCTCAGGGTCATGAATCCCAGGCAAGCACTCTACCACTGAGCTACTTCTCCAGCCCAGCCTTGAACTTGGGGTCCGCCTGCCTCAGCTTCCCAAGTAGCAGGGACTACAGTTGTGTGCCCAGCTTTCCTGGGGGCTCCTAGGAGTTCCATCCCTGATTTCATTTACCTGATTTGAGATGCTCTTAGGTTGGATCTGCTGTGGGAAGCAATGGGTGAGGCTGGGGGATATGAAGGGTAGTGTTTCACACCTGCTGTCCTTGCAGCTGCTGCATAAGGCACTGCCCCACTCTCTGTACCACAGTGGCAGGCCTGGCTCTAAGGGAGCAGTCACCAACACGTGGATACAGTGGAAGTGAAGGGTCACAGAAGCCCCAGTTGGAAGTGTTTGCATTCATTTAGCCACTTGTGTTTTGCCCACACTGGCAAAGAGCCCAAGGAAACTCTGGCTAGCCTTTCCTTAAAGTCCAAACCCATTTCTAAGTCATTTTCATTAACTTTTTAATTATTCGTTTATGGGTCTCACGGTCACTTGTCCACCCAACTGGTTTCTAAAGCTCTATTCCTCACCAAGACCCAGGCGAAGGCCCTGACCACAGACTTGTACCTGCAAAGGCCATGCAGACGTTGTCATCCAAAGCACAGATCTTTCGCACAGTTCTTTCATCTTGTAGTTTAGCCACTGATTTCTTTTCCACACCAAGAACAACAATGTCCCTTCCTCGAACACCAACCTTCAACACAAATCCACAAGCTGTGTGAGAATGACATGGTACCACCAGGCAGGCACAGGGGCGAGAGCAGATGTTACCTCGAATCCTGGCAAGACCGAGGGCAGCAGCCCACTGGAGGGTGTGCTCCCCTTACCCTTCCACGCGTCTGTCTCTAGTCACTCCACACTGTCCTGCAAACCAGGGTATAAACCTACCCCTCATGGGGCCAGTGCAGGTACCATGACCCAAGTGCCCAATCTCATGCTCTTAAAATACTGACAAGTGGTTTAGTTGTACTGTAGCTAGCTGGTAGTAAGCACAATGAAATACATGTCCTTCAGCCCAAATAATCCCTTGAAATGCTCTGCAGCCTGAGATGAATCTTTACCTCAGGTGTCGTGAAACCAGTGTTTCTGGGCTGTGAAGTCTTCCTGAAGACCACTGCACCCCTGTGTCATTCATCGGTTTGCCACAGGTGAACAACTACCCACTGTTACTTTAAGGTCCACTACTCCCTGGTGATGGCTGGCACTGTAGAGGGGACGATCCGGCCGCTATTTAAACATGGAACATCACTGACCATCCTTAAGAGCGGTGCAGAAACAAATGCAACAAGCATTCAGACGGACTGCCTGCCTGGTGTAGACACTGGAGCAGGTAGCTGCACCTCAGTTCTCCAGATGCCAGGAGCACCTCTCAAGGTCCTGGAGGACAGCAAAGCTCTGCACACGTGTCCACAGGTCAGAGTGGGTTTCAGTTCCCAGGCGCTTTGTCCTGTGGTGACTCACGTGACCCTCGGGCCCAGAGAACCTAGCTGGATGCAGCAAGCACCTGGCCTCTAGGAAGTACTGGATTGGGGGGCGCGATCAGGAGACTCCTCTTCCAGAGTTCTTGGGCTGAGTTAGAGCATCAGACAGATCTGATGGAGTATTAATGAAGTTAATGGGGCATTCATTAACTTCAAAATGGTTAATGACGGAAACGGAAACACTTCAAATTTCAGAACCCCGTGTGCTGGCTTTTTCTGACCACTCAAACCTTTGAAAGACCAGGTGATAAAAGAAAAGCTGTCCTGTGATCTGACAAGCAACGCCGGCAGGAGTCCCGAAGACGTCACGACTTTGTAACAGCTTCCGCTAAGGTCTGGAGCGCGAGCCCCGGCAGGCCAGAGGCTCGCTAAGACCAGAACCAGCGTCGCCGGGAGCTGGGCGGAGCAGCCAAAGCCGGAAGCGGCTTGTCACTAGCGCGGGCCCGCGAGCCGCCCTTTGTTCTCGACGCCCACCCGCGCCTCGCCGGGGCGGTCCCGCGTCCCCGCGGGCTGCAGGCGCCCAGCCAGCCCTCGAGCCGCCCGCGCGCACCTGAAGTCTCCGCTCGGGCGCCGCGAAGGGGCCAAGATGGCTCCGGCCCGCCAAGCCGCCGTGCCGGGGCGCCCGTCGCAAGTGGCCACCAAAGGCTGCGCGGCAGCTGGAACACGCAGCAAGCTCCGCCGTGCGACGCCTGCAACCCACGGCGCGGGACGCGCCCGAGGCCTGGCTCCCTTCCCGAACACCCTCCCCATGTGCGCGGCCACCGCCCCACGCGCCGCTCCCCACCGCAGAGGAGCGCGCTCCCCGGGACGAGTGCCCGCACCGCGCAGGCCCGGCCCCGCTCACCGCGGTCGAGCCCTTCTTGACGGCCTCCTGCGCGTACTCCACTTGGAAGAGGTGGCCGTCGGGCGAGAAGACGGTGATGGCGCGGTCGTAGCTCATGCCGGCGGGCACGGCCGGGCTCCGAGCGCTCTTCGCCGCCTGCGCTCAAAAGCGCTCACTCACGGCCTCCCGACCTGACGCCCCGCCCTCGCGGCCACGCTGCTGGCGTCGCTGCGTCTGACGTCAAACGACGTGCGGGCGGCGGGGCGGGGGAGGGGGCGGGCGGAACCACCAGCGAAGGCGCGGGGGGGCGGGTCGGCGCGGCGCGGCGGGCGGGCGCGGGAGTGGAGCGAGCGCCCGGGGGCTCCGCGTGGGCTCGGCTTGGGACGGCGGGAGCGCGAGTGACGGCGGCGCGGGGGACCCGGGCGCGTGACGGCGGCGGCGGGGCGGGCGAGCCCACGGCGCGGCGCCCCCCGCCCCCGCCCCCGCGCTGCGGAGAATGGGCACCGTGGGCCGCCGGGCGCCGCCGGAGGATAAACCCCGATGATCGAGGCCTGAGCCCCGCGCCGCCACCATGTCCGTGGCCTTCGCATCCGCCCGTCCGAGAGCCAAAGGGGAGGTCACGCAGCAAACCATCCAGAAGGTAGGCCGGGCCGGGGCTCGGGGCTGCGGGCTGCGGGCGGGCGTGAGGTCGGCGCGAACAAAGCCGGGGCGCAGCCTGGCGGCCGCGAGCCCCCACCACGACCCCCGCCTGGGCCGCCCGCCCGCCCGCTGCTCCGGCGAGCCGGGCCCCGGGCGCTCCCCGGAGAGCCTGCGCCAACTTTGTTGCGGGGCACGTGCCCTCGGCGAGGCAGCGGGGCCGGGCAGCCGCCGGCGGTGTGCGCAGAGCGCTCTGCTGGAGGGACGCGGCCGTGCGGGGCGTCCCGGGGCCCGGCTCCCCTCGGGGCCGGCCGGGGGCGGGGGCTCGCCGCGCTTGGCTGACAGCCGCGGTGGCAAAGGCGGCAGCGCCCCGGGGCGGGTGGCCGCTCGTCCCTACGCGCTGCTGGGCGAGCGGTGCGGGGGCGCGGGGCCTTGGGAGTGTGCGGCGGCGGGTCGGCTGCTTGGGAAACCGCCGACGCTCCGGGCTCAGAGGGACGCGTCCGTAATCGAGTGCGGCCCAGCGGCCCGCGGCCCTGCACGGATCGCGCCCCGGAGTGGACCCGCCGGCCGGCGCGTCCCCGCCCTCCCTCGCTGTCACTGGGCTTTCTCCGAGACGCCCCAGCCGGCCCCCTCGCCGAACTGAAACAAACCACACGTTCGCCCTGCAGCCTTCCTCTCATTCTGTTAGTTTGTCCACGGTTTTCTAAAGATAGCATTTACATGGACCTAGGGAAACCTTAACAAACACTTCAAGTTTTCACATGGAGACTCTAGTTTCTACTATTTATCTTTAGAAGACTACCGTAGAGGAAAATCGATGTTAAGCCGTGCCCATTTCTGATGTCTTTTGTAGCTACGTTGGTTTCTTTCTCAACTCTGGCTCCTGTAGAGTGATATTCCTGGGTTCCCATGAGCCTGCAGGTCCCCAGGGGGAATCGCTTTGATGACCACAACTCTTAACTTTACCGGGATGACCTGCCAGTCTGTCGTGGGAACTGTCTTCAGTCTTGTACCTATTTTGAGACCATCCTCACTGTTGCTATCTTAGAAATGTAACAGTTTTAAACAAATGGGGAACCTCAGCCAGCTCTGAGCAGGAGAAGCTTTGAGAAGAGCAGAAATACAGGCTTGCAAGTGTGGTGAGTCGGGAGTGGGTCTTCAGCTGAGGGCGACAGCTGACTTGACCTGACACAGCCAGCAGTCTGGTTACTGGCCTCAGTGATCTGGCAGTGTGTATGTGTACACGGGGATCTTTTACTGCAGGTCTGAAAAGGGTACGTGAGGTGTGACCTACACACCTGTGTGTGCAAATAGGCTCGTGCTGAGAGTGCTGGGAAAAGCCCAGGACTCCCTAGAAGCCTGCTCGGTTCCAAAGGAAAAGGAAGTATCTATTTGCATTCAGCATATTTCCAGGTAGAATTCTGCCAGATCAACTCCCACTCAGCTGTCCCTTCCCACCTATTTCTTCGGCAGTCCTATGGCCACTGTAGGACTCTGAGCCATTGCTTGGGCTCCCGACTTAGCACATGGCTGTCTTGCTCCTTGCTGATGCCTTGCCTGGTGTGGGGCCAGGACACAGTCTGTGCTCAGTACATTCTGCAGCATCTGTGACACCAGTTCCGTCTTGTGTCTTGCAATAAGCAGATGTGTTAGTGTCCCATATTCACTACGGTTCTCAAGGTGTTGGGGTCCCTCAGAGGTTGATGGGGAATCTGATTCATGCTTCTCTCTTAGACAGTGGTCTTCTTTGTTCTTTGGTTTGCACTTGAATCACTCCAGTCTCAGCTTCAGTCTCCTTTGTGTGTTTCTGTGCTCAAATCTCCCTCTTCTTATGAGAACACTAATCCATATGACCTTGCTTTAACTTGACTACATTTGAAGTGGTCTGTTTCCCACTCAGCCCACAGCAGTGCAATCTGGCCATTTTGGTGGGGCAGGGGTGAGATTCCCGAGAAGGACAACCAGGAGGCAGAGGAAGGGAAACCTGCAAGCTTTAGGGAGTCATGGGTGGTCCCACACATGGCCCACATGGAGCGGATACCTGGGACCCAAGGCGGAAGGTTGGTATAGCTGGCTTGACTCGGGGAGGCTTAGCTTGTGGTGACTGAACAGCGCACATGGACAAGATGCAGAACTGTGCTTTGTGAGAACAGTGGGAGCATGACTGTGCCTGGGACGCCGTGTCCCCACCCTCCATGGCCCAGGACCAGCCCTGCTCTCATGGCCAAGGACTATGGCGTCCTGAAAGACCAGCACTGTGCTCCTGACAGTGCTGGCAGCTTGGGGTACAGTGGTCACCATAGCTTTATGGCTAGATGACACATTCTGGGGACCTCCTAGGGTGCCCCTTGCTGCTTGGCCTGCAGTCATTGCTCAATAAATGCAAATGCTATCTCCCCTACTGTTTGAATTGTTCTCTTCTTTTTTTGTGTCTTTGGCTGGAGAATGGGAAGGGGGCTGGGGGAGTCAGGGAGACAGATCCGTGGGAGCAGGCCAGAGCTGATGGGTGGACTTGCCAGGGTGGGTCTAGTATGGGAAGGCAGGGCAGCAAGGGTGGTGCCTTGCCCAGGGTCCAAGAGCCAGGGAGTGGTCGAGGCCACACAGCCCTGGCCTTGTGTGGCTGTGCCCGTGCAGGGGCAGAGGGGCATGGGTAAGAGATGGCACTCTGCATAGAGGCTGTGTGCCTGGGGAGAGCTGCGGAGGCAGTGGGGGCCCTGTTCCCTCCTCAGACCTGAGGACTGGCAGATCCGGTGCAGAGGGAAAGGTGGCTATTGTAAAGTTAGAGCTGTCCCACAGCTGTGGATGGCTTGCAGACAGGAGCCTGCCAAGGTGAAGTAACTTAGGCAGCTGTTACTGACAGCACTTTCTCCCCACACCCAAAGGGAGCACAGGGTATGGGAGAGGGGAGATGTTCCCACATCCCAGGCCATCTTGGGGGGGAACCCTGTGGTGGGGAACAACCCTTTGGTTTCTTTGCCACCTCTCATTTTGCATGGCCCTCAGACCAAGTGCTTCAGCCCCCAGGGGTCGGCAGGGGCAGGAAAGTCCGTTCTCTGGGAGACAGCAGTCACACCAAGCCTTGTCCCTTGTGCCCAGTGAACCCCAACTATGAGCCATCATGCTGGATGCTCCAGAGGTGCCTCTGGGCCTGCGGCCCAGCCTCCCGGAACCCCTCAACCGGGAGGGTGACAGTGCATTTGAATGAAGACCGGCCCCACCACCTTCCTGTGCTTTTTTTCCCTTCTAGGCCGGTGAGTCTCCTAGCTTTGTGGAACTTGGGGGCAGAAGGCGAGGGGAGCTTCTGCTCTCAGATTGGTGAGGCTCACTCACTGGTAGCCTCCTCGGTGCCCTCTACGGGTCATGGCTCTGGCCTCCTATTCCCAGGCCTCAGCACCTGGTTCTGCTTGGAGTCACGGGTTAGCTTCCCTGGAATCTCCAGGCTGCAGGCAATGTCCATGCCATCCATGCTCCCCTCCAGCAGGTGCAGGGATAAAGGGTGGATGCCACCTCAGGACCTGGTGCCCAGCAGGTAGGGCACAGGTACTGAGGTCCTGTAAGACCTGTGGAGCCTGGGAGGAGGCAGAGCTGGCTGTGGTGCCTAGTCCCTGCCCTGTGAGCCAAAGGGAACTGAAAGGGCTGAGAAGAAGCTGCTGTTGATGTGGGTGGGAAGAGGGCTCCTGCAATGTGCTTCCTGCACAGGACTGTGTACTTTTCAAATTGGGGAGAGGTGTGGGAGGCAGTCGGCTCTCAGTGTTAAGGGGGTGTGGTGGGGCTCCCTGGAGCTGCAGAGGGGAAGGGCAGAGCATGCTTCCTAGGCTCAAATTCATATTTCACTCACACTAATTTGTGCATATGCTTTCTGGGCCTCAGCTGTCTGGTGTTTAGAATGAAGATGATAGTGTGACTTCACTACAAGCTGTCGTTGTAGTTAAGGTGGTAACCTGGCGTGGTGTTGTAATTGATTATCTTTGCCCTTTTGATCTGGCACTTGATCAAAGTAAGGAACACTTAACTGGTGTTTGGTAGGGGAGGTTAAGGACTCCTTGCAAACTATAGACCTTCACCAGTCCAGGGTCTTGTAAAGAAGATATAGCTGCTGGCACATGGATGGGACACAGCCAAACATCATAGCATTTTATTTATTTACTTATTTATTCATTTATTTTGGGGGGTTTTTTGAGGCAGGGTCTTCCTTTGTAGTTCAGGGTAGCCCTGAACTATGTCACCCAGGCTAGCCTCAAACTCGCAACGATCCTCCTGCCTCAGCCTTCCGAGTACTGGGATTACAGGTGTGTGCCACCACACTGGGCTACATCATAGGATTCTTTTTTTTTTTTTTTTTGGTACTGGGGAGCAAACTCAGGACCTTGCGCTTGTAAGGCAGGCACCAGAACTACTGAGCTAAATCCCCGGCCCTATAGGATTTTTTTTTTTTTTTTTAATATGGAGCACTCCACGAATTTGCATGTTTCCTTGCGCAGGGGCAATTTTAGTATATGTGCTGCCGAAGCAAGCACTAGGATTTTGATATAATACATACATCTTTCTCCAGCATGGAGATCCTCACAGATGCAAGATGACTTGGTTGGCTGGTTTAAACACCCAGGGACACATAAGACAGGAAGTGACTCCTGTGTTGTGTGAGGAAGGTGGAAACATGTTTGCTGTTGTGTCCCTTTAGTGTAGTTTGCTGTATTCTTAGAGTCATTGAAAATTGTACATGTGTATCAAACACATATTATATATACCATGAAGCATGAGCCACTGCTTTCCAAAGATACTGTATATGTAAATTTTGGGGGGCCCTTTTGAAACCCACGCGCCTAATTCACATCTTGTGCAGTTGGGTAAATGTCCAAAAGCGTCTCATTGACTTCATCAGTAGGACTGCAGAGGTTTTCAGAAGTCTCCTTGGGTTGGTTTGGTCATTGTTCCTCTGGAAGTGTCCTCAGGATAGGACATCATCCCCTCAAAAGTATCATCAACCAAGAAATAGGGGGAGGG